TCAATATTCCAAAACAATCAAATCTCCAATTTGTATATTCCCCCCTCTTTTTAATAGCTCTTAAGTCCAGCTTTAATTTATGCCTGTTTGTTGCCAATATATTTTAATTCAATTTATTTAAGTTTCTTCTTCCGGCTTCTTCCTTTCTCGGTTTGAAGCCTCATTCAGCTGTCAAAGTTATTTTGTCTTTTTTCTTTTCCTTCCCTTTATAATTCCACCACTTTCTTTTTCTTTCTTAAAGATTCTTATAACATCAATCCCGGGATACCTTTTATTTAATTGTTGTGCCAAATTGTCCCGATTCTTATGGTTGTCCACCTCTTTCTTCACTCCTGCACAAATCTTAATCCAGCTAAGTCCTCCTCTTCAGGGTGGCCATTTGAGACCACTGCTTGGTCGTCTTCGGGGGAAAAATTGCCAAGCCTGGGGGGGGGGGAGATGAGGCTCCCCTTGACCTGGCTGGTGCTTCCCCTTACTCCACTGCCCCTCTGAGACAGCTTCAGTCATGATGATTGGGGCTCTCCAACAAAAGCATGGACAGAAGCCCCGGACAGTCGTGGTCCCCTGTCTGTCGCTGAGGAGGGCTTAACCCGGAAGTCCCCAAAGCCTTTTTCATTACATCATCATCCAGCAAGGCTCAACCAAGCCTAGAACTCAGGACAGCCTACAGAGTTGTCCCTGCATGGCTGCATGGGAGTTTGACAACCAATCAGAATACAAGCTCAAATTCAAATCTCAATAGAGGGTATAAAAACAGGCACTCTCAGCATCTCAGCCCTTCCTTCTCTTTTCCTTCACCTTGGAGCATGTGATCATCCTTCTTTGGAGCTCCAAGCCATGTGGTCCTGTCTACCATTAAACCATGTTTCCAGTGTCTTTTCCCCCACTTGGAACAGACCAGAAGGATATTTCTTCCAACAACTGGCTGTGGGAGGAAGGACTGCTCTTGGAAGTTCAAATACGAATCGTAAGTACTTTTGCGGTCCATCATAATTTTGATCAGTTGCTAAGCAACTGCTCATTATGCGAGGATTAACTGTACATCCAGTGAGATGATATTGCATATAAAATATTATTGTATAAACAGGACTAGCAACAAAACGTCAGCACATGGAAAGAATTTTCTGTTTGGAGTTCCATGGGTGACATTCCATCCATATCAGTGGTGGGATTCACATTTTTTTTACTACCGGTTCTGTTTCTTGGTCGGCGTAGCGTGTCTTGGCTTGGTGAGCGTGGTTTGGTGGACGAAGCTTGGTGGGCGTGGCAGGGGAAGGTTACTGCAAAATCTCCATTCTCTTCCCACCCCACTAACCTGCTTTCCATCTCCATTCTCCTGTGCAGGGCAACCAAAGAAGACCCAGCCAATTAGCTGGGACTTGGGAGGCAGAGAATAGATGGGGACAGGGACAGTCAGAGGTGGCATTTGCTACTTCCACGAACTACTCAAAATTTCTGCTACCAGTTCTCCAGAACCTGCTGAATACCACCTCTGACACTAGACAAATGATTGTAAGTCAAGGACTATGTTTAATTATTGAATATGCTCAGTCATCACAAAACTGCTTCATGAGAGTAAGGAAACCAACAGGGTCCTAAGCATTTTTGGAATCTCTGTTAACCTTGTTCATCTTCCTAAATTGCTTGCAATTCCGTAGTTTTGCTTTGCCAGTACCTTTTAGGTTATGCATGGCTTTAAGAGAGAAAATGATAGGCAGGGCCCAGTTGATTGTTTTGGATGGATTCAAGCATAACAATCAACAGTAGTATGGAATTAGTCTCCTCTTACTGTCTGAAACATTTGCTCATGAAATCAGGAGGAGTCTGATAACCTCTTTTCCAGCTAAGACATTTAATTAAAAAGCTTCTGCTTTCACAAGCTGCAACTCAGTTCATCAGAAGCAATACTGATTCTTCCAATTAATGGGTCCAATGAAGTGAGCTGCAGCTTAGAAAAGCTGACGCCCTTTAATAAGGGAGCTGGAAAACAGGTTAGTGGGGTGGCCACACCATGCCCACCCAGCCACACCCACAGAACCAGTAGTAAAAAAAATTGAATTCCACCACTGGATTGGCCCCATCACTTTTGGCCTTCCACAAAGCCTTGAAATGCGCCTCTGTGCTTAAACCTCGGGTGTGGGATGGAACCCATCTCCTGTCTGTCTTGAAAGTGAAGGTTTCAAGTTTTTTTCCCCAGCTGCTGTTTTTTATATATATATATATATTACAGAATAGAATGGAATGTTTTTTAATATTGTTACCTGCCCAGAGTCATATACCTGAGTTGGATGGCCATATAAATCAAAGGAAGGAAGGAAGGAAGGAAGGAAGGAAGGAAGGAAGGAAGGAAGGAAGGAAGGAAGGAAGGAAGGAA